TAATGTTTATTCCCCCCCCCCCCCCCCCCCCCCATGAGAATCGGTCAGCCCCAACACACATGCAGTACTAGACAGATCTAATAACCTCATGAACTTAAAACTGTTTTACTTTTTTTGTTTGTTTGTTTTACATTTAAATATTGTGTCATGATGCTGACCATTTGTTTAATATTTGATAAGTGTATGTAGTGCTTCATAGACTGCATGCTTAATAAAAATAAACCTTATTTACATTTAATTTTTTTCCCTTTCACATTTTATTTATAGGGTTCCCACAGTCATGGAAAACCTGAAATGTCTGGAAATGTTAAACTAGTGATTTCCAGTCTTCTCGACATTTTCTACAGTTGTTCTGAAATATTTCATCAGCTAAAACCGCAACTATGCCTGCATGAAACATCTTTCTGGTTGTGGGACATTTTGAGACATTTACACAATAATATAGTTTGTCTATTCATTCATGTACCTGACAATGAAAAATCATCCAATAATCATGATCATCTAGAAAGGTTACAAAAAAAAAAACCGTTAAAGTGTTAGAACCCCATATTTAATTAGTTTATCACGTTTTTGTTCTTGATGACCTCTTATACCCAAAGACAATCATGTTACATGGACAGCAAGTCCAAATATTACAGTATTAATTTGGGTGCTCTTTATGTGTTTATGCTAAATGTATTGTGCCATTTTGTAGTATTATTGAAATGTGTGACAGTCACTGATCTCTTTCTCGCCAGCTACTAAAAACGTTTTCCATTTTGCAGGTCCTAAAATAAGAAGTGTGTCCATGGTGTGTCTCTCCATAGTGAGGTTTAATTTGAATCTTATGTAAAGAACAGATGGATGTTGTTTAAAGCAGGGTAGAGCCAGGTGAGCGTATCTCTCTACCCAGCAATACCTGGCAAAATGTGATGTTTAGAGGGATAATTTACAACACCAGTGTTGACATATTTTAATGGAGTAATTTTTGTAAACAATTAAACCCATTAACTCGATATTGTGTGCAAATATAACTGAATAAAAGTATGGACATCAGTATTTCCATGTGTGAAAGGATAACACTAATGTGCAAAATCTCTAACGTTAAATGTGAACCTTCCTTTTTTCCCCAGTACTAGAACTTTCCATGCGAATTGTCTGATCGCTCTTCCAAACGGCACTTGCTCAGAGCTCTCTTAACAGAAATGTTTCACCTTTGACCTCGGACACAAAAGTGTATAGATCCAGATATTTTTCAAAAGTGAAAAATTGTGCTGATAAGCTACATAATTTTCTTGACAACTGAAATGTCTTCTCCTCAGATGGTGTTGTTATAGTGCAGAGCTCATGTTTGGGATACACGCCCATGTTCTTTTTCAGACTTACATAACTTGGCAGCGAACAGGGGTCCAGATGGCTTGAGACGTACGTAAGATTGCTGGAGGTTTGCACACTCAGACGCCCACAAGCTGTTAGCTGCAGAGACCGAGAAGAAGAGCACTTCTGTTTTGATGAAGCTATGAGATTCTCAACATATTTATATCTTATACAGGCTTGTTCACATCTTTATATAGTGTTATTTTATTTTGTAAGTAATAAATAGAGTTGCAGTATCCACACAGCAAAAATTGCACCTACACAAGGAAAGAGGACGTGAATGTTTGTGTGGAAGTGTGAAAATCAAACCTCAGCTCCGTGAAATGTGTCCATGGTGTGAAAACAAGATATCAAATGAGCAGTTCTGTTTAGTCTGACTCAAAAGTGAGGCGAGAAAAATGCATAGTCAGCAGAATATTGTTGTTATATAGATGATATCCACGTGAGAGTGGAGTTATATCCCAAGGATTACATCTCAGTAACTTTCTGTACGTTCGTTTCAAATCAGGATAATGTTATAGAAATGTCATTGTCATATTTTTACTATAACGGTTTGGTAAAAAGTGAATAAAACCACATTAAGACACGAGTCAGCAATACTAAACTTAAAAAAAAAACTTTCCAGGATAAAAGGATTGATCACAAATAACAGGTTGTGGCAGGCTGTCGTGTTTTATTATATAATTTCATACAATTAATTCAATCTGTTGGCCAAAAAATTTTTTGTACGTTTTGTTACCGTTAACATTTCTTTTTTTTATGATTAATTTTGAATGCTTTATGGAATAGTTAAGCCAAAAATGAAAATTTGCTGACGTTTTTATTTTCTTCATCAGAACAGATTTGAAGAAAAGTAGCATTACATCACTTGCTCGCCATTGGACCCTCTGCAGTGAATGGGTGCCGTCAGAATGGGAGTTGATAAAAAAAAAATTAAAAAAAAACACAATAATGCACATGTAATCCACACAACTGCAGTCCAAAATTAACGTTTTGTGAAATGCAATACTTTTATGGCAGGTTCCATTGTGACAAATTGCCCCATATAGTGTGACAGTATTGCTACTGCGGCAATGAACGGTCTCCTTATTTCTGGGCAAAGATGATGAAAAAGTTCAATAGCTTTTCTTTTTTTTTAATCAGAGACAAGAAAATATGTGCATGTACAGAAATTGACAAAGTCAAGAATAAATCCACTGTGAGAAATATTCACCGGAGTAAAAGCGTGACAACCACCCCAGTCTCTCGTGGCTCCCTTTAGCTGCTCAAACACGTCACATGTCTCTGAAAGTGTTCAATTTACTACTGATGAAAATTAAGCATGTACAAATTAAGGACATGTACAAACAGATTAAGCATGTACAAATTAAGGACAACGAGTGACGAAAACACATGACACATAGTCCTGTTTTAAAAAAATGTTTAATGTACATCATTTTGCACAAGCCCTGACATTTCAAAAAGCCACATATATGCAGCCATTGTGAAATAATCATCCAGCATTTTCAGACTCTTAAACCATAATGTCTTCAGGTTTTATGAAAAGCTCAGTTAAAACGGCAAAGCATTTACTTTGTGGTTAAAGCCAAGGCAGGGCTTGTGACGTTGCATCGCTGGAAGATTGTTTACTGAGCACTGCAGTGGAGAAAAATACATTCACATAGTGAGAAGGGCAGAAGTGCGTTACAAAAGAAATATAGAAATAAAGAAAAAAGATGACACCAGCCTACATTCTGCTGCTCTTCTTTCAGTGCTGCTGTGTCTCAGGTAAGAAAACATTCATGATTTAATGAAGTTCATAAGATGAGGATCTAAATAAAGAATCACTGTAAATATTATATGGACATAATAATGACTTCAATTCTTTAGTAACACTTTAGATCTTGAAAATATCATATATAAATATTTTAATATGTGTAATGTACACCACCTTTCAGCATTCAGAAAAGAGGTACAAAAGCTGTCAGTGGGGTGGTACCTTTTTAAGAGGTACTCTTTTCTTTTTCCTTATTCACCCCTAAAAGATGCATATTATATGCATATTCGCGGCTCGAATCAAGTTCAAGACATTGATGCTTGCATATAGAACAGCCACAGGCTCAGCACCCGCCTACTTCCACTCACTACTATGAAACTACATCCCCTTCAGAAGTCTGAGATCCGCTAGTGAGCGACGCCTCGTGGTACCATCACAGAGAGGCTCAAAATCACTTTCCAGAACATTATAAAAAATAAAAATAACTGAATCCCTGACAATTTTCAAGCGACAGCTGAAAACTCATCTCTTTCGAAGCTACTTGACTTCATCATCATCATTATAAAAAAAACAAACAAAAAAACAAAACAAAAAAATTCTCTCTCTCTATTTATTCCTTCTCTTTCTAGCGTGTACTTATTTGAACAATGTCTAGAAACTTGGTATTACAAGCACTTCCTGTATCTGTTTGCCTCTTTAAGAAGAATCGCTTTATGTATCCCCAAATTGTAAGTCGCTTTGGATAAAAGCGTCTGCAAAATGACTAAATGTAATGTAAAATGTAAATATTAGTACATTAAAGATACATATTAATACCTAAAGTATTAGTTCCTACATGAGAAGTTACTGTTCCAGTGACAGCTTTTGTTCTTTTTTTCGTTAGTTTTTCTTTCTTTTCTTTCTTTCTCTCCCTTATTTTATCCCTTATTATTCTGCAAGGACACATTAAATTGATCAAAAGTGACAGTAAATGCATTTATTAAAAAGTTAGAAAATATTTTGGGATATTTAGCCTATACTAATATTGCTTAAAATAAATGATATTCTTTTGAACTTTCTATTCATCCAAAAATATTGGAAAACATAAATATTAATAAAAATTTCCATGGAAAGGCTACAGTTTCCATGAAAATATTAAGCAGTTCAACTGTTTTCCGCCCTGATAATAATATGAAATGTTTTTAAGCAGCAATTTAGCATATATTATTTCTGAAGAATCAAGTGACAATGAAGACTGGGGTAATGGCTGCTGAAAATTCAGTTTTGTCATCACAGGAATAAATTACATATTAAAATAAAGTATAAAGTATATTAAAATACAAAACAGTCGGTGTAAACTGGAATAATATTTCACAATATTACTGTTTTTCCTGTATTTTTTATCAAATAAACGCAGTCTGCTGAAAAAAAAAAACAGCTGGCTGGTTTTAGCTGGTCATCCAGCCTGGTCTAGGCTGGTTTTAGAGGGGTTTTGGCCACTTTCTTAGGTGGTCAGGTTGGTCTTAGCTGGTCAGGCTGGGAGACCAGCTGGAACAGCCAGCTAAAACCAGCTTTACCAGCCTGGCCAGGATGAGATCAGCTAAAACCAGCTACTTCCAGCTTAAACCAGCTAAGACCAACCAGTTTAGGCTGGTTTTAGCTGTTTTTCAGCAGGTAAGCGCAATAGACTTATTCCCCAAAATTGAAAAAATATTACCAACCTCAAACATCTGAATATTAGAGTAACTACATTAACAGCTGACAGCTACTTAACTAGTTAAAGTTATGATAGTGTTATCATTTACTCTAATTAAACAGGGCAGCTTGGAAATAACTTCAGTCATCTGGCTAACCTGGCATTGAAGGTTTCTGTCGATAAAGTCAACAGGCAGTCCAGCAATTTCAACCTGCACAGGCCAACAAGCAGTGTGGTCCGAGAGGTAATATGTACTTTTCTTTAAAAAAAAAAAAAAAAGATATATTAATATATAAATTTCTATTTGATCTGCCAACAACAAATACTAGCGCTAGACTGCAGCCTCAGGAATCCTCTCAGCAAAACAAAGTCAAGCAGTTTCTCATAGTGCACTACCGTCCTCTAGTGGTTATATGAACTCAAGTCAACAAAGAACTGGGTTACACTTAACCCTCACTAAAAAAATGTATTCACAAAAAAACAAACATTATGCGGCCAATATATAGCTACTTGCCCTCGTTCGGCTTCAAATCCGTATGCTGTTTTTATTTAACACAAAAGTTATTAAGTTATTAAACACAGCATTCTTGACCTCTGTCAATCTTCAAAGTAAAAGCACCATAAATTTAGGTTAATTTTAGGTTAGCCTAACGTTTGGGTTTGTAACTTCTGACAAACAATTTCAATAAGAGAATATTCTGTTTTTCATTTTGCTTGTCACGCATTCCTAAATTCAGCTATGACTAAATAGTCCAAATAATCTTAGAAAGTCAAGGAAGTTGACCTCCCTGCTGAAAAAAACAATAGAAACCATCACAAAAAAATCTAATGGTTTTCACTACAAATACCATTATAAACATTGCAAACATCAACTTTTAACCATTAAAAAATGGTTTCCTGTAGTGTGTTTTGTGACATTAAGATTTAGTGGTTTTAGCAATCCAATAGAAGGCGACCAATTACCAGTAGTTCCCATTATATAACCAGTAAAACCATTACAAATTATGTGATGGTTTTTCTTGTTTTTTTTTCAGCAGGGCTCTGTATGTTATCAAACATTAATACTATTTTGAAAGAATAGCATTAGAAAACGGATTAAATGACAGACTCATTTGATCTTTGTCATCGAAGATCACACTGGGACGTGATAATACATATGATATCCTGCTTGATTTCGGAATAAAGGAGACAGTCTGTCTGAAATATACCAGGAGACCATACAGGAATCATTGCCATTTCAAACAGGGACGTCTTGCGGTAAGACAAGGTTTAATGTTTTTACGGTCTCCCTTCTGGTTGTTGCAGGTCACACATACACTTCACTAATACCAACATCATACTAAGATATTTCTCACCTTTTCTTTTCTTCCTCAAGTCAAAGAAATTGTGCTCCAGTCTTGTGCGTGTTGGCAGCATTTCTGTTGCTCCTCTGGGCATCAGTTGTCTGGCTGAAACAGCTGCGCTTGGGTCCAGCTCAGAGTCCAGCAGTGAAGAGGTCATTATCCAGCGGACAGGACGGGTTCCTCTGGGCTCTTTGTCTTCAGGAGTCATTCTGTGTCGAGGAGAGTTTAACTGTTCGAGATTACTACTGTGATTTCATGAAATGTGATTACAATAGACAGACAAACAGATAAACCTCCAACTGATGTTTCAAATAAAACAGTAACTTTACATGAAATTGTTTTGCTTTAAAAAGATACATTTTCAACCAAGAAAATACTATAATGAAATAATTATCTCCTTATTTCGCTGTACATTCTGTGGTAAACAAACAAGGAGTGTCTCTTATAACATTAAATGTGTAAAATTAAAAGTGTGTGTAGTTAATTGCTGCAGTATAGCCTTAATCTCTTGAGCAATGTTCAACCCAAGGCACATTCTTTTACAGTTCCATCATAGTTTAATCAGGCATATAAACGTGTGCAACACATATTTGTAGCTAGCTATATTTGTAGATTTTTAAAACATTATGCATGTATTATATAGTGTATTGTCCATAATGGACTAACATTGTTATTCATTGTAAATCAAGAGGATTCAGCATAAGAAGCTTTTAATCGTATGATGATAATGAACCATCAAAATAACAAGAACTTGGACAACATTCTGTGTGATTAACACATTTATATTGTTCACTTTAAATGTAACAGACATTTACTTCCCCATTTATTTAACTAAAGGTTCCTGACTTTAAGAAGCAGCATTAGCTCTGTACTCCTCCCTGTAAAGAGAACTCTATCTATTCCTACATTTCATTGCTCAGCCTTTCAAAATGAAAGACTTTTGGAGATGCAAAACCAACAGGTACATGTTTTCTCAACCTATGCATTCAAGTTTGTTAGAGGGATGACAATGATAGTAGGCACACAGTGAATTTTTTGCATTGTAAGTCAAGTAAACTTGACATGACACCTTTTATTTTGTGGCTATGGTCTTAAAACCCTACAAAGTGCTCGATCTTAGGCAACCATACTATGGAAGCATGCATGCTAGATTAACGTCAGTACATTGTGGCATTGCCATGACGTGAGAAATAGATGTTCCAGATATGTGACACACTTTAATACAGCACTGAGTATAGACAGAGGTCAAAATAAGGAGAACGACATCACTTCCTAGTGTGTGTTTCACTCATGCAGAGCTAACGCACATTGATAAAGTCAGGAACTGCAGCTGTATGTACAGACAGATAGCAATGTAACCAACATAAACAGACATCACATCCCATCCCATTCACAGGCCAGCTACACGCCGAGATGTACTCAAGCGGCAACAGGCTCATTTTCATCTTTGTCTAACATTTGGACATCTTCATGAAAAGTAAGGGTCCACAGCAACACAACATAACAGTTTATCAATAACAATGGTAGCTGTTTTTTTCTTTCTTGACATTTTAAGTGGAAGTTTCTAAACCATTTAAATTAAATGTGGAAAGTGTGGTAGAATACTTCATTTAGAATGTATGCTACACAAGTGCAGTTCCCACATTGGGATTTGCACATCTAATGACAAGCAAGGGCGGCACTATTACCAGGCCCTCGCTGTTCTTCTGAGAGTGGATCAACCAAATCACTCAGACGAAATGCGCACACGCACACACACAAGCATCGGTTCAACAACCCTTATTTTCTATTCACGTTTAACGTTTACAGTCAAGGGTTTCAAAACTAAACTTTAAAATAAGAATATATTTCAGGTATTAAATAATTTCATATAAAAAAGTACAAGTTCCCTCCCACCCCATTGTTCCACATATATATTTTATCATACATACATTATCCCCTTTGCTCCTCACAGCAGTGTCCATGCAGTACCTATAATAACAACGTCAGTCTCTTTTTCTGTTTTTTTGTATATCTGCTACACTTAATAGCAAAGCAGCACAAACACGCAGAGAAGCTTATGTATAGATGGTTTGGCTTTTTCATATTGTGGTTATAATCGGGGGTTAAAATGAGCAGTATTTTAATGCAGACGTTTCAGCTGTTGAAGATAAACGGAGTGGAAAAGGAGAGTGGCATATCTGTACTCAGCACATGTCCCAACTACCACTCGCTTGTCAGTTTAGTGTTTTGGTCCCTTTTGGGTGGAGCCGGCGGAGGACCCCGCCGTAATGTTGCATAGCCTGAGATGTTGGCGCTCATGTATCCACCCTTTTTCTGCTGGCCCAGCAGCAGCTCTGGAGGAGGGGGCGGAAGGGCCATATCGTCCATGGTGGTTACTGGCTCCAGCTTGGCCGAGATTCTCGAGGACGTGAGGGAGCCATGTCGAGTCATGGACTTCCTTTTGAGAGTTCTGTTGAGGTCTTCCAAGAAGTTGGGCTGGATTGACAGACTGGCCTTGGGGGAAGTTGGTGGGATCTGAGAGTTAAAAGAGGACAGAGGCATCTGTTGAGGAGGTGGAGAAAGGGCAAGTGGCTCGGGTGGGCCACTGCTGTGGCGGTGCATAGTCGGAGGGGGCATTTTCTTCAAGGAGCTTTGCTTCCATGAGGATGTGGAGCTGGAGGAGTGTTGGGGTTGAGGGTTCACCACAGCCACTTTGGGAGCCCCGGTGTGCAGTTCTGATGGGAGAGGTGGAGGAGGCAGGAGTTCTGAGTCTGGTGGTGGAGGGGGAAAGTCACATTCGGAAGGAGGAGAGGGGAAGTCTGAGCTGGATTGCTGATATTGACCTGGCTTCCCCTGGAGAGCCAGAGGCAGATTAGCCAAGTTGATCTTGCCTGGTTTTCGAGGACCTGCGGAAGAGTCCTTGGAAGGTGATCCTGTCGTAGAGGATGGAGTTGAGAAGGAGCTGGGAGGGGCTTGACTGGTTTGGGCAAACATGCTGACCAAATCCTCCACTTTCTTGGACTCCTGGTACTCAATGGAAGAGGTGGACATCATGCTGGAGTTGCGCTGTGGAGTTGGAGGGGGCTTCTTCCCTCCTGAACCAGTAGAAGAATTTGACGACGTCGATGGGGACTTCTTGATTGGTGATCCCATCTTGCCAGAAGGCTGTGGGGCAGGAGGGGGACTTGGAGCAGGAGGTGGAGGGAATTCAAGGGTACTCTCTGGTGGGGGTGGAGGAAATTCAGGAGATTGTGGTTGAGCTTGCCCTCCTGGCTGCCATTTTGGTTTGTTTTTTACCACAGGAGGAGATATGGGACATTTAGATCCATCAGGGGCGTCAGGGAACTGGTTTACAATCTGCTTTACAAGCGATTGGGTGGGAGAGATGGGGGCAGATACAGATGCAGCTTTGGAAGAAAGGCTATATTGCTTGGGAAGGATAGGTGGAGGTTGATTGGGGCTGTGACCACTGGAGAGGCTTTGTTGTTTCTTCATGGTGGCCGGAGGGGTTGGAGACAAAGAAGGTGGCACAGGGGAAATGGGGGAAATGCCGTGGGCGGGTTTCGGAGGCGTTTGGGGTGGAAACCCACCAGTGAATGTTTTAGGTGGGGCAGGTGGACCTGACTGCTGAGGGGGTGGAGAGAAACACACTGGAGGAGGTGGCGAAGGCTCTTCATCTTGTTGGACAGGTGAGAAGTCATAGGTCATATTAGGGAACTTTTGAGCTAAGAACTGCTGGAGCCCATTGGTGCTGAGGGGAGGTGGGTATTTTAACTGTTCTGGGGGTGGTGGTGGAGGCAAGTAGCCATTGCTGTGTAGGTGAGGTGGAGGTGGCAGCTGGTCTTCCTC